ACGAAGAAGCTCAATAGAACCCTGGACGAGGGCCATAGTTGAATCCATAGGGTACCATAGAACCACCGGACCCCGAAAAATTGCCATCAAAGGGTACTGCACCACCTCCTCCAAAAGAACTTGGCATGGCAGCAAATGGCGCTGCAGGGACTGGAGGTATGGCCGAAAATGGCACTGCAGGCACCGGTGGCATGGCTGCAAATGGCGCTGCAGGGACCGGAGGGTTCAACGCCTCAATCATCTGCTCATCAGCCATCTTGGTTACTCTCTCCCTAGTCCTCTTCATTCTCCCCAGCAAGATCTCAAACTGCTGCAAGTTAAGCTGATTAGATGGATCATTCCACAACCACTGCCTGTGAGCAGCTTGGTTCACCATCTGGTTGATGGTGTCACCGTGTTTCCTCGCGGATTCTAGCATGTCTTCAGCAGAAGTGAGGTTCGTGTTCAGCCCACGGGCGTTGACATTGCGCTGAGCCTCAACAAGTTGATCCATGATGTTGCCTGACAGAGGGTTCCGAGAAAGGTACCTGTCCACCACAGATTCCACACTAGGGTTTCCGAAAGAGTAGACCTTCTCCCCTGGGGAGAAGACTATTGTGGCCACTTCAGCGCCACAGAGAGTAGAAAGCTCACTGGCCTTCTTGAATAGACCGGACCGGCGTTTGGAGAAGGTCACTTGGAGGTTACTCTCATTCTCTATCTTCGCCATGTCTATCTTTTGGCGACCCTTACTCCTCCTATCCATGGCTAAGACTAGAAATGTCTAAGCAACACTGAAGAAAGAAGCCCTAGATTTCTGTATAGTTTGTTGTAAAACATACTGGAGTTTTATAGTGGATTCTTCAATGTCTTTTGGATGTCAAATTTCCATTATACCCTTTTATATATCATTACGTGGATAACTCATGTTCATTCATTCGTTCTGTAGGGGTAAGTGGATACTCCATTAAAATTGTCACTGAAGATAACTCTTATAAATTAACATCTCATTTAATTACATACCAAAGATAAATAAATAAATAATAAATAATAATATAATTACTTGTCAATCTTAATGGAGATTTTGGATGTTATCTTAGAATTAATTATAGAAAGGGAACTCTATTCACGCTCCATAATTATACTTGCGCTCCACTTTTATATATTAATAAATAAAATAACTCCGAATTATCCAATACTGTCTTCTTTTTTTCTCTCTCCCTTTATGATTGGGGACTCTCGACTCTTCCATCTCTTCTTCGGTTCCAAACAACAAATCTCTCCTTTTTTCTTTTTTCTTCTCTCTCTCTCTCTCTCTCTCTCTCCTCTTTATACAATAGTAATTAATTATGTTACAGTAATTAACAAAACGGGAGAGAGAGTGTGTTGGAATTATATTCACTATTGTACACAAAGCAAATAAAATTGGTAATTAATTAAATACATCATTATCTTGGTACGTTGTACTCATTTAATATTAAAATCATTAAACATGTACAACGAATTTATATTTTTCGATTTAGGAGATATGTTGAGACAGATAATTGACATCAAACTCACTAGTTCCAATTTCAAACGAGATTTGAATAAATGCATGGCCTGTGAGCGTGTGAGAATGAGAGAATCACATGCATATAGAGTTTCCCATAATATGAATGTTGAAAATGAGAATTAATGTATATTAAATGGATGTCATACAACACTAAAAAGAGGCCTATATACATGAACGAAACTTTGTCGGGTTAGGGGAGTAGTACAGGGTCAAACATTAATGGTATGTGAGAGTAGTACAAATATAAGAAATACTTACTGTATTATAATGTGAATAATATATATTAACAATAAAAATATATATTTTATGTCTAGTTTGCAATTTTTTATTATTATTATTATTTTTTATTTGTGACAATGATAATTATTAAAAAAATAATTCTTGATAGGGTCGAATCTGTTTAATTTTGTGGGATATAATTATTAAAAAAATAATTCAGTGACAAGGATGCTAATTAATCCTTATCATGATCTGTAAGTATAGTACTGTTAAAAGTGTGCACTGTAGGATTGGGATTTGAAAATCAACGAAGCTTGTGATGGAAATGCTTATTTTAATTGGCCTCCATTTAATATCAGTACTCTATACCTTTAAATAATAATAATAAATAAATAAGATCAGCACTCTTGTGTTTTGGGTTTTTTTTTTTTTTGGTAGATAAATGTGTATTTCTATAAAAATAAAGGAATGCTGTTTTGTTATTGATATTGAATTATTTATGTGGGCCAAAACATAATTATTTTCATCACTACTCTCTCTTTCGTTTTTTTTGCTTTTTTTTTTTTTTTTTTGAAAAGTAAATTTCAAATAATATTAATATGGACAAAATTACACTGGGCCAACACATTCAGTTAGCAAAAGGCTAAACACACATGAGGCCCAAAGAAAGGCCCAGCAGGACCAAACAAGAGACAACACATCCCCACAGAAACATTGAAACAATGAAGCTTGGCCGTTACGGACCACGATTGATGCATTCCGGTTGTCATGGAGCCTATTTCTCCAACCTTCATTATCGTGATTGTATCCGGCGGTTCTGGAGGAGGACGAAGTATTGCTTCAAGCAGGTCCTATTCAGCTGCAATTCTTCGAGAGTTCAAAGTGGGAGGGATTGTTGAAGTGAGGAGTTTTCATCACTACTCTCTTGCATATTGATTTGCTTAATTAAATTCCTTCCGAACCCATTAGTTGCATTAGTGTCTAATTCCCTCGTTATAGTTTTTCTTACTTTCAAAAAAGTATAGATTACCAAAAAATAATATCAAAAGCACTGTATCACCTAATTTTTCAGAGGATTAAATGCAAAAAAAACCCTAATAATCTATAAAATTTAAAAAAAGGTGCAAATAAGTCTCTCTGATCACATTTTGACAAAAAAAATAAATATAAAAATCCGATTTTACCCTTTCTGTTCCCACTTTGCCCCTAAGTTCCTAACACACAATGTGCATAAACCCCTGCCCCTAACCCATTTCCCAAACATGCCTTCTAATTAATATTTAAAAGCCTGTTGCCATTGTTATTCTTTGCCGAATGATTCACTGAAAACCCAGTAATTTTTTTTTGGTTCACTCAAAAACCCTAGCCACCATAGTTTTGAAGCTTAATTACCAACAAGAGCGAATACATTACACGCCTTTGTTGTTGTTGATGTCGAACCATACAACCCTCATCATCACCGTTGAACCAAATATCAGAGTTAGATCTGGATCTGGTCTCCCTCCTTTGATCTATGTAGTACAAATGAATGGATTCTGAGTAGTAGTAACTTTCCCTCTTTCCAAGTTTCATTTTTTTTTTTTTTTTATGTAATTTTTTTTTTTTTTTTTTTGTACATTTTATGCTATGTTTGGATTAAGTGGATAAGTAAGAATGAAAAAGAAAGAGGGCACTAGTGAGGAGAGGAAAAACAAACAAACAACGTAAGAAAGTGCAAGGGGAAATGCTCTGTTGGTTTTCTAAGAAAACGATGGAAATGCAAAGAAATCGGATAATGCAAGGCGGTCATTTAACTTACACCTTTTTAAAAAAATAAAAATAAAAAAAAATTATTGAAGATAAATGAAAGAAAATCAATGAAATAAGATTCAAAACTTTTGTATTCATCACTTTTTCTCATCAACCCCATTATTACTTTTCATTTTTATGAGAATTTTGTAATTAGGAACTAGAAATCTGGTTTATTAAGATAGGAGGGAGTGTTTGGTTCGGGTTTTATTAAATCTGGTTTTGGATTTGTTTGGTTTATCTTATCCCAATTTTGGACAAATTGAGGTTTATTTTATTCTTATCCCAAACAAACATAATCCTACACAAATTGGACAAAATAGTCATTTTATATGGCATGTATTTATACTTATTAATTTAATCTACTAAAATGAGGGTATTATTGTCATTTTAACTCTCCAAGGGGGGCTATTTGCACCAAATCAATAGTATAGGAGTGTTTTACGCTACATAGGGATCATTTTGCACTATATCGATCTTAGATGGGGTTTTCTACACTTGACCCTTTTCCAGATCGAAAATTATCACGACCGGTGTATAAATTTATATATACTAGTGTATTTGATCAACTGTATATCCTTAATTTGGTTTTTCATTAATCATACCATCACAGGAATCTATTAAGTGGGCCAAAATTTCAACTCAAATTGGTGAATTCTCTATCCAAAAAAATGATGAATGGAATGAGCGAGTAACAGAAAATATAGCCAGAAAAATTATTTCAATAGCGTACGTCATCCAAAAATGCTTATACGAACTCAATTCATTTTAATGATTTTTCGAGCACACTATCATAAAATCCATGCATCTTATGGAGTACAATTATTTCACTTCTGTTTTGAACCCAAAGATTTAATATTTTAAAATAATAGTAACAATTCAAAGCATAACTTAACTCAATTCTTCTTTTTCTCTTTTTTTTTTTTTTTTTTTTTTTTTTTCCTTTCTCTGGATAAATTACAGACACTCATTTGTTTCACTGAAAATTGGAACTCTCAATTTTCTATTTGGAAGAAGGATGAGATCATCCCACTTGGTTTAAGCTTTGGTGATGACCAATTAATTTAATTCTATCTTGGAAGGCTTTGAAGTAGAACCTTAGTGCACATGTTCATACAAGATGCAATTTTCTTCTCAAATTCACTGAAAATGAAATATATATATATACGGACAATACTGCACACGAATAATAAATAGATACCTTATTTTTATAATTATAATGTAGTACGAATTACTTTAAGTGTTTGTTTTTTTTTTTTTTTAAATTAAAAAGGATGTATCCTTCTATTATTGATCCATATCGATTATTCGAATAAAGTAATACCCAAGTATTGTCCAGAGATTTATAGCATAAAATTGACAAAACAATTACAACATAACAGCAACACAAGGGCATCAACACACAAAAACAGCTATGAGATACCACATGCACTTCCCTTGTACATCATCCAATTTGTGACACTCAAAAAAACCCACGATTATTGACATGATTAAATCCATAAGACATCATGGTACCACTCAAACCAGAAACCCTAGCATCAGATGATGGAACACCAACTCGTCCGAAAGAACTCGTGGACGCGGCGGTATAAGGCAAAGGATTCCGAGCCTCAAGCACAAGCTTGTCCACATTCTTCTTGAGATCTTCCATGGCAGCCTTCAACTGCTCAAGCTGTTTCAAGTTAAGATCATCAATAGGACCTTCCCACCAATTACACTGGCTCTGACTAGCCTTCCTTGTCATGTTAAAGCTTTCGCCAAGCTTCTTCTCGGTTTCTACCATGTTTTGCACCTGTGTGAGTTGCATGTTGAGCTCGCGGACACTTGCATTCCGGTGAGCCTCGATGAGAGGGTAAGTGCCAGTGTTTGGTGGAGGGTTTCGGGTGAGGAACCTTTCGACGATGGACTCAACACAAGGATGGCCGAAAGAGAAGACCTTCTTGCCTGGAGAGAAGACAACGATGGCGATTTCGACACCACAGAGAGTGCTGAGTTCACTGGCCTTCTTGAAGAGGCCGGAGCGGCGCTTGGAGAAGGTGACTTGTAGGTTACTCTCATTCTCCATCTTGGACATGCTTATCTTTTGGCGACCCTTGCTTCTTCTTGCCATGGTTAGCTAGGCAAGCTAGAGAGATCGATATGAAGGAGTCTACGTTTTGTCCTAAAACATAAGGGTATTTAAAGGTTTTTCAACATGCTTGTTAGGCATGTGTAGTTCTTGTTTTAGGTGGAAATGAAACCACGTCATCTATATTATAGTGATCACAAGTTAAGTTACTAATAAATCAAGAAAACTCATTTGTGATAAATTTTTGTATTTAGTTACTAATTTTGGAGATTTTGCATAACATATATGATTGAAATTAAGAATGGTTATAATTGCCAGTGATATGTCATTGGGGTAACCAGCTCTGGAAGTTTACCTTTACCTAATGTGAAATCCAAAGAAGGGTTTTGAATGTTACAGCAAAACTAGCCAATTAGAGAGAGAAAACCCCAATTATGACATTCATTCTCTCAAGAAGTTATACAATGTGCCTGGTGCACGGTGCATCGGGTCATCATGATCACCCAACTCTGTGTGTGTTGTATAAGCGTCCGCACATGTACTAGTTGTACGTGATGTGTCTCTGGTGCACCGGGCACACCGAATACCTACTCCTTTCTCTCCCACCATCTCCGAGTGCACCGTTCTTATAGAAAAAGATAATGATTTGTAATCGAGTGAACAGTTCGAAGTAGTCCGAAGACTCTCTAATAGAAAGTCCAGTGGTCGGGCCATGCCCCCACTCACAATGAACCATTCGGCATAGTCCGACCCGAAGACTCTCTTGATACTGTAGAAGGATAAAAGCGCTTTATCATTATCCTAAATTGAAATGGTATTGTCACTTCTACTTGTATTTAATTAACTTCCGTTTCCAGTCCTCTGGAGTGCTTCTAGATTTGTTTGAAATAATTGGGATTAGGAACAATCTGATAAACAGGGACAAGTTTTGAGGCAATTGTCATGTATATGAATATTTGAGTAAGTGTGTGTAATAATTAAACTATGATAATATAAAATCTTGAGATTTCATTAGTGTATGATTTGCTTGGTTGTAGTTACAGAGCCACTCCTAACATATTCTTGGCTTAGATGCCAATACATGGTTAATATGGTATTCCATTATTTGAGTATATAATATAAAATTGTCGAAGACTTATTTGGATAAATAACAAGTAACTGCAATTAAAGTAATTAATTATTATGTGAACTTGTGAATATCATAAGTTTGCAAATAGGAATGGTGAGGAGTTGTTGGGTTCTATTACTATTGCTAATGGAGGTTTTGCATGACATTCATCAGAATCTTTTGCCCATGAAGGTGGGCAATGGCAGAGTTTTGTTTTACTTCTCTTTACTCTTTTAACTAGAAAAATGATCAAATTATGTAACATACAACTTTTGTTCTTTCAACCAAAATAAATAAATAAATAAATAAAATCATAGTAATTGTGTCAAAACATCTTCGTCCCCAAGTTATCCACTGTTAAATTCACTAATTGCACTCTCTCGAGGTCTGTTGCTGCTGACTGGAGCCCCCATAGCTCGGTCATCAGTCGTAACCCCCAACCTGTGTGATTTTTGGTGGCTTCCCTCTCTTCCTCTTCCTCTTCCTCCGTAGTCGCTTCTTTCTGTTTGTGGAGCTTCCTCGGCCTGGGGGTAGGGATTTTTTTGGTTCTAGGTGTGGCCCTTTTGGCGAGTACTTGCGAGGATTCCCGGTCATCAAAAACAAAAACAAAAAAAAAAAAAAAAAAATGTATAGGCCTGGCCGACTCTACTCCAATAACTGTTGGACAGGTCTTTTAAAAAGAAACCCAAAGAAAAGATTAGATATAAGGCTCAACAAAAAGGTTGGGACCAAACCGAAAGATCTTAAAAAAGAAAGAATGTATAGGCCCAGCCCACTAACTACTCCAATAACTGTTGAACAGTTTGACTTGATCGACCAATAAAATTCAAATCGGACAATGAGAACCTTGTAGATGTTTGTTAAATCTTTTCCATTTGAGTAACGATGAATTAGAACATTATAGCTATGACTAGTTATAAAAATAGATAGCACAAATTGTAGTTTACTGCATGTGGTAAGAAGAAATTTACAACTCATAATTTAAATTATACTACTAAAATATTTAGTTTAAAGTTCGAATTAACATGATTTTCAATTCTAAATATGCAGGATCTCATGCTACCAAATGCATCATTTTACAAGTACACACACTTTTGAGAATTGAATGTTTCTTAACCGGTATATTATGTCTATCTCTTTGTGATTAATTTTAAACAATTCAATATTTATTCATCACCCAGTACTACTCTCTAACCATTGTTCATAATAATGATGAACCAAAAAAATGAAGATCAAAAATAATAATAATAATAATTATTTGTAGCGTGACAAACTACTGAAGATGATAAAAGACTTATCATACAAAATATAGCAAAGTATTTCATAACGACTTCTATCGGTACATCGACTTGATGTGACAATAAATAATTGTTATATACATTTAAGAAAATATTTTTACCAGACTCTAGTCACTCTATCTATTTGAATCACTACAAAAATTAGTTTTTAAAGCAATACTCTTTAAGAATTATATTTTCATCCCAAAATAGGGATTTTGTGCTAATGTGCTGTTGTTAAATGTAATAGATTTGGATAAATTTAAGAGGATGCATAAATGCATTGATTTCGATAATCAACACCTCTAAAAGAGAGATCCATAACGGCTAACACTAAAGTGTGTGTGTAACTGTGTGTGTGTGGTGATCTAACGGCTCCGCCCTTTTACACCATGGGTTATTCTAATTTCTCTCAACGGTCAAAAATAAACACCCATTTAAATTCCAAATCTCCGTACTGGCTTTGGAAACTAGCCGTTACCATAGCGAAATAGAAGAAACTATTCGAATACCCTAATTCATTCATTCATCACAAAATTTCAAAAATCTCCATCTGGTCATTCTCAATTCACCAAACCTTCCAACACACACATCCTCTCTCTACCAACACGCACACTCTCTCTCCATATCGGCGAAAAGGTTCATCAATGGCAGCAACTTCCAACAGATCCCCTTCCCCAATTTCATACAGACCAAACCCTAATACAAGATCCTCAGAAACCAATTCCAAAATCAGAAAAAGTTATAGTGGAAACCCATTCAGGCCTTCAATACTTGCAACCCCTAAAAATTTCAATCCTGTCACCCCTGCTAATAGCCCTTCAGGTTCATAAATCTTTCATCTCTCTCTGCATATATACATATAAATATACATATATTGATATAACTTCTAAAATCAGATTTGCTTGAAATTGGGTTTTAGGCACTGATTGTCCTTTTCTCCTTTGTGTCTATGTATTGCAGATTTTGGGCGAAGACACACCACTGAGAAAGAAGGATTTGTGGCAACACCTGGCTTCTTCGAAGAGAAAGAGAACGATAAAGATCCAAATTCGAAGCCGGTGAAGGTCCGATCACCGGCAGTGGTGAAGGGTTCCAAGAATTTCATGACTCCGACCATCTCTGCGGCTTCAAAGTTCACTCCATCGCCAAGAAAAAAAGTCTTGACAGAGAGGAATGACCCTGTTCGCGTCTCTTTTGATGGAAAACCTCCATTTGTGGATGGTTCAGGAGATACTGAATCAAAGCCAGAGATGGGTTTGAAATACAAGAAGGTTGAGATTCCATTTGATTCAACTTTCCCGTATTTGGATCACAAGGAGGAGGTAGTTCTTGGACCTCAATCGACCTCCAAAGCTCCTGAAAAAGGCATCTGTTTCAGTACTCAGGTACCTTCAAGTTATCTTAAGGCCTCGGATTCATTATCTGAGACTATAACTGTTGAATCTGATTGTGTGAGTGTTGATACAACTTCCAATATCAAGCCTTGTTTCTCATCAGTGTCACCCATTATAGCTCCGCTTGATGCCGACCCATCTCTTCCTCCTTATGATCCCAAAACCAATTACCTTTCACCAAGGCCTCAGTTCCTTCACTACAAACCCAACCCAAGAACTGAACTTTATCTGAACAAGGAAAAGGGGCTAACTTTTGGGGATGGTGGTAAGAGGCTTGAAGACAGTTTTGTGTCTGAAAACTTTTCAGACACTGAATTTACAGAAGAATCTCAGTCTGAAGATTCATTGAAAGAATCAGAGGATGATTCTTCAGCTGAGATCATAACTGAAGAAGAAGAAGAAGAAGAGCCTCATGTTTCTGAACCAAAGCCCATTAGTACCTCAAGTAGCACCCATTTGTCTGAGGAGACTGTTAAAGCAAAGAAATTGCAGAGTCCTCAGTTCTTTACCAGATCAAAGTTTGTTTTTTTTGTTCTGGTCCTCTTGATTGCTTGTTTATCGATCTCAGTTACTGATTCTCCGGTCATTGGTCCATCTGTCTTCAATGATTTTAGCTTCTCTGTGCCCTATGATCCATCTGAAATTCTGGTCTTTGCAAAAGAAAATTTTAATGGGTTTGTGAGAAACTTCAAGCATTGGTCAGCCAATTGTATATCCTCTCTCTCCAGGCTAATTCACATCCCAGATAGAGTAGATAAATTGGGTCCATTGCAATTCAGTAACTTGACTGCTTTGCAAGAGGATGTATTAGTTGATGGGTACACTAAGATTGACCTCATTGAGGACAAGTCAGAAGAGAGGTATGAAGAAGATGATTTGGAACTTGCACCAGAGGGGGAGGTTGAAATGGAACTATTGGAAGAGAAGGGTCAGCCAGAGTTTGAATCAGATGATGAAATCAGTGAAGAAGCTTCACAACAAAGACATATTGAGCCAGAAATTGAAGATAATACGCATTTGATAATACAAGCTGAAGTAATGGAAGCTGATAGTTCACAAGAGATTCAGAACCAAGAACAAAGTGATTCTGATTTCCACATCAACTCAGAACCACAGATAAATGAAGTATTTGATGATCATTTGAGTGAAATTGAGGCTTCTGAGGTCAAACATGATGTTGATCTGGGTGCTAATGATGTTGATTTGGGTGCTACAGTTGATTCTGCTGCAGCTGAGGCCAATCCTGAAATGTCCTCAGATAGTGATCCTTCTTTGGGGGATGCACAAAGTGTGGAAACAATGAGTGCTTCTCTTCATGGATCAGAAGACAAATTGTCCCTCCATGAAAGGACTTCTTTGCTTGTTCTGTCACTGGCTCTGGCTCTAGTGTCAGCTACAGCTTTCATTTATTTCAAGCAATCGAAAACCACCAGTCCAAATGTTGCGGTTCATGTCGATCCATTGTTGCCTAAGAAGCTTGTTTTCAGCTCAATTTCACCCACCAATGAGCACACATACCAGGACAAAGCAGCTTCACATAATTGGCCGACGGAGGTTGATGTTGCTGGAGAATCATGTCCTTCAGAGATGAGCAGTTTCCAGAAGAGCTCATCTTATGGCAAGAAAGTGCTGAGTGGAACAAATGAAGCTCAAAGCCAAGAAAGGAGGCTGAGGAAGAACACTAGAAGAGAATCATTGGCTTCTTCATCAGATTACTCGATGGAACCTTCGCCTTCATATGGAAGCTTCACCACATATGAGAAAATTTCAAGCAAGCATGTAAGTGTCTCAACTTCAATTTTATAAGCATGCTTTATATATAAATTGAAACAACCCATATATCTATTTCTTGTTTCTTACATTATAGACTGTTTATTTTGTGGTTTTGAAGGGATATGTAGATGAAGAAACAGTGACTCCAGTTAGGCGTTCAAGCAGGATCAGAAGCCAAGTCACTTCGCCGTGATGATTTAAAAGAAGAAGCCATTGTCTTCTGCAACTACTCATTGTTGTGCAGTTCTTCTGTCCATCTCTAATATGAAGATTGGCTTTTTAGTTTCTGACTTAGGGAGGAGTGATTGATTGTAATTTGGGCACATTGTCATGCAATGGACATCTCTACTTAGGGAGTGTTTGATTGTAATTTGGGCACATTGTTCACACGCAATGAACATCTCTAGCAAGTGTTGATTGTAATTTAGGCACATTGTTTACGCAATGAACATCTCTAGTAATAGTGTTTGATTGTAATTTGGGCGCATTATTCATGCAATGAACATCTCTAGTAATAGTGTTTGATTAATGTCATTTGGGCACATTGTCATTGTTCATTAGTGTTTGATTAAAGTAATTTGGGCACATTGTCCATGCAATGAACATCTCTAGTAATAGTGTTTAATTAATGTCATTTGGGCACAGTTCATGCAATGCAATGAACATCATCTCTAGTGTCAGTTTTCTACTGTCATGTGCAATAGTGTTTGATTGTAATTTGAGCACATTGTTCATGCAATGAACATCCTCTAGTAATAAGTGTTTGATTGTAATAACTTCTAGTCTAGTGACAGATTTCTATTGTAGATCAAATTTTCTAGACCTCCATTTCTGCTAACTGGGACACATTTCTTTCCTGTTTCATCCAATTTATCTTTTAGCCTTGATTTTATTTGGAGGTGTCAAGCTCCAAAATCATTGTCCTCAATGATTTTGAAAGGTTTTCATATAAATGTCTCTGATGATAGTAGGTGTCTTATTCCCTGTGTCAAAGATCAGCTGCTGAGTGCCAATCATGCCTTGCTTGATTAGTCATTGTCTTGGACCAGCTAAATAGCTAACTCATGCTATTGCATGGCTTTTTATAGTTGACACTAACAGGTCATTGTTTGGTGATATAATAAAAGTTTGATGTTGTTGAGTAATGAGAAGACTAATTCAAATAGCAGGGGGTGATTATTTTGAGTAAATAGTGTTTAAGGTCAGAATCTGCTTAAGCTAAATCACACTGTTTAAGAACACTTCATGATCTAATTAGACCATATTATTAAATTTAGTATCAGTTTGACCCAAGTATAACTAATACTAAATTTTCCTTTTATTTCTTGGTTTATACTAAATATTTTAAAACCAGGAGTCTAGTCTTGTTCACCTAAGAGGCTTCGGTGGTTGTGGTAGTTTCTACCTTCAAGGCTTCATTGTGACGATGATTTATTTATTTATTTATTTTTATTTTTTTTCACATTGTCGGGACTCTTAAAGTATCTTATAATTGATTATCAGGCACACATAGTCCTCCATCATACATGCACGAAGCAATTACCGGAAAATTTTTGTCCTTGTAATTAGTAGAGTTACTGATGGAAGATGGCCTATTTTGACTGTTAGAAGGCCAAATGGGCAGATTGACAATTTTTCGGATGTTTCAATGAGTTTGTTTCGACACGAGAAGATCGCCTTGCTGCACTAAAATTATATACATTGTTATCATTATTTTGCATTTTCATGAATTCTCACCCCTAGAATGATAATAATGACGATAATGAACAAATATCATTACAATGAAATGACCACAAAATGTTCTATACAGTGAAGCATACAAAAGTATATATTTCAAGAAGCAAAAGCAAAAAAGAAAAAAAAAAAAAGATTTAGAAAAAGTATCAGCCAAAGAAATTTAATCAAGTAAACAGTTTCTGCCTTTTTATCTAAGTTAAGATTTACATGCATACAAAATCATTTAAAGGTTTCTCAAAATTCGAAGATGCTAATAATATGTAGTTAATAATGTATTTAAGTATATATCTACTTATTTGTAATCTCTGTTTGTTTAACAATTACTGACAAATCATGATTACTTTGTTTTAATAAATTGTTTGATTATAATTAAAGTTATTATAGTGAAAACCTTTGAAATTCAAAATATATATATTTAATTATAATTTATTTTTATTATAAATTAAGTTTTTTTTACACGTGCATTTTTATTAATAAGAGTAAAATATATTTAATTATCAATAATATATAACAATCTTGTATAATTTTTTTTCATAATTCTGGAAATTGAAAATTGTTCAATTTTCATTACTCAACAAACTTCCGTCCTTTTCACGTAAAATCATTGGAGTTCTTCATCTCAGCATTTTCCTTGCCATCACAAACTAAAGTGTCATAAATCACGTGGCGTATACCCCACCCACATCCTTGTTTGTGTGTAGTAGTATTAGTGGCGTAAGCAAACCTCTCACGTAAGCCACGTCATCCAAATTTGTATCTCTTCTTTTTTTTTTTTTTTTCTTTTTTCTTTTTTTTCTTGAAAAAAAATGAGCTACCAATTCAAAAATGATGTTCCCAACTCACATTTGTACTCTTAGATTTGCTTTATTAAAAAATTAAAAAAGGAAAAATTCTTATATACCATATGAAAATTGTTTAATCTTTATGCATAGATACAATGAAGTACAATTCACATAAATAAAGAGATGTGCTTCTATACTCAAACGTTAAATTTTACATTTTCGTAATTTGATAGGCATCGCATTTTATTGCATAAATTTGTGGTAAAAGGTCTTGTTTTTCCATTCCAATAAACTTTAATTTTAATGATCGTGATTTCATAAAAGTAAAATATATGTATAATCTATATTTTCAGAGAGAATTGACTAAAGTGACGCTTTTGAATATTAGAAACTAAACTTAATTCTTCTTACAACTATAAATCATTTGAGAATCGAGACAGTTATTTTTAATTTATTGTCTATACTTTTAACTTTAGTTTATTGTTTATATTTTTAACTTTAACCTGGTTTGAATTGCTTACCATTAAATTCAAATAAGTTTGAGAATTTGTCAAACAAATATTTTAGTTTTTAGTATAATATATTTTATATTTTATAATTGATATTTAGGAGTTCAAATTCGAAAAATAAAAAAAAATAAAAAAAAAAAGAAGAGAGACTACTTATATCAACATGTTCTCACGGAGTCCCACTTTCATAGGCCGGTATGAGCCACTAGAGCTTGCACAAGTCAATAATAGAGATTCAAATACTTTCTCGTGGCACTGATAATTCGCATTATGTTTGGATGGATTACATTTTTTCTATTATTTTATTTATTTATTATTGTCATCATTATTATTTTTAAATAAAAAAAAAATTGGATTGAATACATGTCACTTTAAAGGATTGTCTCTTTATACGTGGCAAAATCTTAGTAGTGTTGTAGATATTTTAGGTATTTTATAACTACAGTCGATCATTTCTCTTGCTGTTGCTGCAACCGTGCAACTACTGCTTCTAGTTTTAGCCACAAAAGCAACCCGCAAAATCTCCCGCGCATGATAGAAAGAAGAAACCCGACAATTCTAGAGTACGCCATATTGCGTGACAACAGCACAAATATACTTCAATTTCGGCCGCTTCGTCGCCACTCGCTTCTTGTCTCTTCTCTTTCTTTCTCTCTCTACGGAGCTACAAACTCTTCTCACGCACTCCATTCGCTTCCAAATGGAATCTCATTTCATTTGATTTGATTGAGGTTTCGTCAACACAGAAAAACAATGGCTTCTCTTCAGATACTGAAATCAAGCTTGTCTCCATCACTGGTTTCTCAGTTAAACTCTCGCCGGAAATCGAGATGCTTTTGCTCGGAATTCAATTCTCTGGCCTCCGGCAAGAAGGTTCATAAGCTTCGAAGCAATCGGAGCTCAAACTTTTCAATTAACAAAAGAAGATTTAGGGTTTCTTGTAAAGTTGAAGAAGGTGACGACCAGAGCAATGGTAAACTTCTGTTGAATTGCATTTTTTTTTGTTCATTTCTCTTATAATGAAGCTTTGTATTTGATTTGTTTTTGTTATATCTTCTCTTGTGTCAATCAGTTTGGTTTGTGTCAATGTTAGTATGTTGTTACTTTCTTTAATTTCGAGATTTTATTAGGTCGATTTGAATTTTGAAGTGTGAAATTTATGAGATTAGTTTTGGAAATGAAATACAACACTTTCCATTTATATTATTTGTAGGGTTTTCTAAGAGACTGAGAGGTGAATTGGTTTCAGTGTCAAGAAATTTTGAAATAAAAAATAAATGAGGTTAAGAAAGGTGAAAGTTCTTATTGTTGTAGTGATAATGAGAAAAAGCATATGTAATAATAGTATTTTGCTTCATAGGACAACTCTATCATTGTTTTGCTGCTAGTTGTAAGAAAGAATTGTGCTATGCAAGCCGAATAAATTTCTACAACTTCTCTCCGACTCAAATGGCCATTCAATGATATTTCATTCTTTTCAATCCAAAACAAGTTCTATACTTGAACAAATGTAAATTTTCCACGGTCAGTCAGCCTTCCTAAGTATAAGAAAGAAAAACCCTAACAATAAAAGGAAATATTAGCACTTCATGCATCTCTGTTTTGCACAATACTAAAACTTGCAATATCATTGTTGGTTAACTTGGTTTAGTTAGTCTCAACATTCCAAAGATCCATGTCAATAAATGTCTCTGCAGAGCTGTATCCCAATAGTTGTTTATTGCAACTTAGCTGGTGAAGACCACTGGATTTTATTTAGGAATTGCTCAAAATCTTTTAATCGTGCTTGAATATATTTCCATAAGATACTATATTATATATATATATATTGATTTCCATAAGTTACTTTTGCATTCAATAAAGTTGTATGAAAGAATACAAGTCCATTTTCAATCATGAATTTCAAAATGCCATTATGAATTTGATTTTTGTATTTGTATTCATTGATATTGAACATTTTGAGCATTGAAAGGAGCAACAAAATTCGGAGTTTTTGATTTATAATTAATTGGTAGCGTGTATTGTGCCTTGCAATTGAAATAATGGTCACAGAACCAAGATGTTAGCTTTTTGATGTATTTAACTTGTTTGTTTGTTGCTCAGACCCTAATACCCTCATTTAAAGTTCCTACAGTAGGGAACTCAACTGGATGTATCCAAATCTTATGCCTCATATTTTAAAAATTTTAGGCGAAGAGCCTCCAGAGTCATTGTTTATGAAAGAATTAAGGAGACGGGGGATGACTCCCACTTCATTGCTGGAGGAGAGCAACAGGAGCATCTACAGAGATGAGGAAATAAAACTGAAGGAAGAAGATGGAGGTTTCTCAAAAAGAAATGCAGTGTCAACAGATACTGGAAAAAATTTAACCAACCAAAGAGAGCTGTCCATGGCATTGAACAGTGAAGGACTTGAGGTTGACACATTCTCCTTTATTTATTACTTGCAGTAGTTTGTGATTTGTTTGTCCAATTGATTGTGGCCTCAGTTATATTCAGTTTGGGATTCTGTTTTCTCATGATGCATAGTAATATGAAATTATTTTCCAGGTTTCTTATCAATGTTTTATATGTCAGCATTTTGTGCTTTTTGTGGTGATCCATGCTAAAAAGTTTACTTGAAATTTAGTTATTTATTTAGAATTTGAAAGTTATTTTTAAGTTCGCATTATTTGAACTTCAACATCTTATCTGGTGTTATACAAGGACAAATATGCAGGTAACATACACGTGCACAAGCGATGCTTGATCATATTCTATTAACAGATTGATAGTATACTTATTGCAAGGACCAGGTGCATTTTCATGCCAAAAAGACCGTAGAAAAATAATATAATCCAGTTAACCATATGAATCTAATATAAACTCAAGGGAGAAGACATAGGGAATCGAGAATCTTACCAATATAAATATGGGAATTAGAATCATCAATCAGTATATAGATTACTTTGATCCAACCATAATATCACCTTGTACGGTCAATTCTGCTCATACAAGTGAGGCATTCATAGTACACAAGAGGCAATTTGGGCTGCTACTTTATACATGCCGGTTAACACATAGGACTGAAAGATTTGACAGCATATAGGAGTTGGAGAATGGGTGTTTATGTCAGCAATATGCACAATGGATGAGGCATATGTTAATGCGTAACTGTGAAAACGAATATGTTCATAACCATACTAGTTGAATGTCCAGGAATACCATAGGAGTGTCCTGATTTTCTAGAGAGATTTATCCTTCAGCTTGAGGAATGATCCTCATCAGCAAGCAGTTATAATATTAAACTTGAGTAAACGGATTTGCACCATAGCTCAATGTACAGTTCAATTTGGTGTAAATTTATTATGGATTCAAAAACAACAATGTTTCACTTACTCTGTCCGACCTCAAAAGATTATTGCTTCATATTTATTGAAAAAAAATGGCATATATACTAAAGCAAATAAATAATCTTAAATTGAAAGAAGATAAAAAAAGGATGATAAACTTACCCATTTTCAAATTCCTTTTTTTAGAAAAAAAAAAAAATAATAATAATAAATAAAGAAAAAGAAAAGTATTTTACCCAGTTTCAAATATTATTCTTTGCAAACACAATCTTTAGAGTGAAAAGAAATGGATGAAGAATTGAAGAGGATATCTTAAATGAACACTTTGAGTATTTTTATGCAAGTCTAAAGAATGTTGGAAGAGGTCCTGGCTATCATCAAGAAGCAAAAAGTGGAAAAGGCGAAAGTAGGGATTTACTGCACAGAGGAAGAGAATGAATTTCATATATCCTTTTCCACTCAATCCAGAAACAAGATCGGACAATAACAGTTAGATATTCATGACTACTTTAGAGTCGTTACGTAAAATATAATTCTTAATGCTATGTTTGGTCGGAGGGATAGATTGAAGAAGGATGGATGAGCCTTCTCATTTTTGGTCGGAAGGAAGGGAAGCAAGGGAAAATTGGGCAGAAGAGAGGAGGGAAAGAGAGAATAACTACCTAAATATATATAATACCAAATTTTTTCCTTTCCCAAAAAAACGCTTGTTTTATTATTATTTTATAAAATGAGGGTAAAAAAATATAAAATCTCTCCTTCCTTTCCTTCCAACCAAACCAAAAAAAGGTGTCAATCCATCCATCATTTCCACTATCCCTTCAATTCAAAGAAATGAAAAGTGAGGGAGACCCCTCCTGTTTTCTGAGGATGCATCATCCATCCCTCCCCCTCTCCTTTCCATCCATTTTTCCATCCCTCCAACCAAACGGAGCATACGAGTTCTTTTCTGGTCAATATCTAATATATGATGGTTGAATTTTTGTTATAAACCTGCAGTTGAACTACTGAAGGTCAGAATGTATCACCTAATTAAATAGACATGGTAGAGGCCTAGAAGGAACTCTTTAGAAATTTGAAATCCTCGAGACATAGATTATGCAAAGAACCATATTTTGGGGAGAATTGAATTATTCCCCATTCCCTCCCTCCGATCTAGAGAGAGAGAGAGAGAGAGAGAGTGGAGATTGGCATAAAAAACTATTTATATAATCATCCTTACATATTCAACTTGGCATTTGACTGAGTGGTCACACCTTCCATAATTGAAAGGATCCAAGACAAAACAAAAACTTTTTTCTTCTAATATGAATATTATAAAGGTTCGGTTACTAGAGCACTAAATAAAGTATAATAAATGGAGATTTCAAGCACATTGTGAGGGACCGGGCATAGAGAGTTACTAGGGACGTTTGTCTCTGTGACAGACCCTTGCTTTTATGAGCGTTTATATCTGCATTCACTCTACCCTTTAATGCTACCATGGTGCCTATATTTATAGTCCTAGGTTTCTTGGGTAAATACCTGGTGGTTCGTGACCCTGTCGGTCTTTACCTGGTACCTAGGATCGTAGGTCATGATTTCTCTAGATGTGCCTGTTTCACCTAAGGGGTCAAGTCTTTCTTTCTGCAATGCTTTGGTGTAGCAGCGGTGCATTAAATATCTAATGCAAGCGTTAAATTCATTTAGCGATGCCACAACAGCGGTAGTTGAAGCATTAATGACTATAGCCAGAACATTAATTGTGATTGTAAGGGTCTCTGTCATAGCATGTGTTCATCATCCCCTTGGCCAAGCCCAACAGATGGTTTGGGCAGTTTCTGACTTCTCATCCACCAATCCAAAGCCCCTCTAAGGATTCCCTCTAATGACTATAAGCATGCGAGAAGGCCCTGCCTTTATTTCACTTTATACTTGATTCATGGTTGTGAAGTGTCTCGTGGTGACTTGTCATGACATCAGGCTTTTTTGACTTGCGGATGTTGTTCTCCATTTTTTCTCATAATGACCCGACATGGTGGCGGGGTATCTGGAATTGAAGGGGAGGTTTCAAGGTTTGGTGACTTGACATGTTGTCAAGGTTTCTTGGACTTGAGGGAAATGTTCTTTAGGTTTAGTGATGTCAGGGTTTGTTGGATTTGAGGACAATGTTCTCGAGGTTTGGTTACCCGACGTGTCGTCAAGGTTTTTTAGACTCGAGGGTAATGTTCTCAAGGTTTGGTGACCTGATGTATCGGTAGGGTTTTTGGACTTGAGGGTGATGTTCTCCATGTTTGGTAACCTAATGTGTTGTTAGGGTTTCTTGGACTCAAGAGTGATGTTGTTGAGGTTTACGTGTAGGGTTTTGGTCACGTGAGGCTATACTTGTTTTGACTTTTCAAATGTCCATGTGGATGGCTCAATTTGACACCTACAAATACTAATGCAGTAATTTTCAATAATGAAAGTGAACAACCTATTGAATAGTTAGCTATGATATTTCTGCAAATGCATTTATCTGTTTATTTGCTAAAATAACTTCTTCTTTTTAAAAAAAAAAATAATGATACTTGGACCATATAAACAAACCGAATTAAGTCTGAATACTGATGTGTCAATGAGGTGGTCCCACTCACATGGCACATTAAAAGAGTAAAATCTTGACTAATCAAAAAAAAAATTTGAAGACAAAAGTAACCTCCATTATCTTATCCTTAGGCCGTCCCTTCTCTCTCTCATGTGCCTAACCGGAAAACCTATTTCAACCATTTTCTTCACCTCTCTCTCTTATCATCTCTCACTATTCCTATGGAAAAAGAATACATGAGGGTTAATGTCCAATGATCTCTTCCTCTTATTATTTTATTTTATTCTTAAACCTTTCCAGCTTTATGTGTCTTCTTCCTCTTATTGGGTTTTGCTATGTCTTCTTAGCAGCTTTATCTGTCACCTTTACTGGTACATTTATCTCACTTTGATTCCATTTGGAACAAAGATGTTAGTAACTGAGCATGTTGATTGTGAATGTATGGGTGAGTTTATTTATCGAAAATAAATAAGTATGGATGGTTTTACCCATGAATGGGTTTTTTGCTCTATTCTCTTTGGCAATATATGCTTAATGGTCGCTGTAATAAAATCATCTTCAAGGTATGTTTTGATGGAGCTAGGTTTTGATGGAGATAATTTTATAAATGTGGGTTTAAATTGATTTTATCGAAAGGCTGAAGAAAGTAAGATTAAAAGGATAAGAAGGACACAAGTGGAGTGTGTGTGTGAACGGTGCGTTCGTGGTGAGGTTTCAAGTGAAATGGAGATAAAGAAAAAATGATAGGTGTAAAAGGTAACCTGCCCCTTTAGAGAAAGTGTGTGGATGGAAATGGATTCTAAAATGAGGGCAGTTTGGTCTTTAAATTTTTTGTTTCAATTTTGCTAGAATAGTAGGATTGCTATGTTGTTGCCATATCAGCAATCAGCTTAAATTTCAGACTTCCTATTCTGTCCACTTGGCACTACTCTTTTATATATAATAGAGAGAGTAATTATCTCTTGCTCACCGTGAGCAAGAAAGTTTTCCACACCAAGCATAATAACCGTTAGAATTGATTGAAGTGTAAAAAAGGTAATTATCAAAAAAATGTAACAATCATATCCAACGGTCACCATGCTTGGAGTGGATAAATTTCGTGCTCACCGGTCAGCAAGAGATCATTTCTATATATAACATCAGTCTATGCAAAGTTATGAATATCATGTGCATTCTTCTCTTTGTATTTTCGTCGCAAATTCCTTGGATGAAATAGTCACTTGCACATGCATGCTATAATCAACATGAACCCAGAATGTATTACTGGAAATTCATGTATTCTAGATTAGTTTTTCTGAAGCATTTGGAAGGCATTTTTTTGCTGGATCAGGGAACAAGAACCTGCTTATGATGATTTTCATAGTTGTTTCACTGATTATAATGATACGACTTTAGAAAAGTACTTTAGTTCCCTCTCCTGCAATGATAGTGATTATATGGAAAGATTTTTTTATTGTTCATTCTATGCATATTTTTTATTGATAAATAATGCAACGAATTAAAGGGTGCCAAACCAGTGCACCATCATGTGACATGTCGGTGAGTTTTACAAAAAGTACTTACCTTATTGAACATGTTTTCCTTTATACTATTTTCCTATGCTATGTTGAGTTTCCTTATATCACGGTAATCTATATAGTAGAAACAAGGTATAAAGTTTGTAAACTTAAAATTCACTGAATAACAGTGCTTTATTTTATTTATTTTTATGAGATGGCCAAATGCAATAACCATCCTTGGCCAAGGATGGTTATTGCATTTGAATTACTTAAAGTTTGTATTTTTTTTGTAGAAATAGTATGGATTCAATTTTTTTTCCCTTTATTTATGTGTTTGCATGTACACGGAAACAGACTTGCTTCTTCACCTGGTTCTTTACTTCTCTTTTGTCAGGGTTTGGTTCCACGGGCTAAACTTTTGGTTACTCTTGGCGGAACCTTCTTCTTGGCATTTGGGCCTTTGATCCTCGTAACTGTTGCGTTCTTCTCTGCCCTCTATCTTGTAAGCTTCTTTTCTTGTTATCTGGTCTATTTCTTGAATGCATTACTTCCATCAGGACATTCTTGTAGATGGAACAATGGCGCTGTGTTTTCAGTTTTCTGATTGGCTTCATTAGTTGTTGCTGATACATAATGCTGATAATCTAAACATGCCATTTGTTGGTAGTAAGGCAGGTCATTAATTGGAGCTCGTTAAATTTTAATCGTAAAAGTTATTTAAGTAGTGGCTGTTGTCAGGAATGTGTTCCTATTGGAGTTTGAATTTGTTGGTTTCAAATGTAGGGTTTGATTATGTTTCAATTCATTATCATTATAAATAGGAACACAAAGACATGAGAATATACTCTGTTAATGGCCACCAGAAAAGATATACGAGTAATTCCTCTGCAAATTGATATGGGTCTAGATCACCTAGACTCTAGAATAGGAGTAAACCAATTAACCCTTTTAGGAAATCAGAAAGTAAAGAAAGTAGAGTCCAGAAAGGGCGAAACATAAAAAAGAAATGTATGATGACAGAAGCGATCTCAGTCAGCTCCCACTGTTTTCTGGTGAACTGATAATGACGGAACTTTGTCATACAGAAGATCAGCAGATCATGTGCTTTATCTAGTTTTTAATGGCAGCAATGCAGTCAAAGGTCAGCAAGTACAGACCTTGAGTTATTTTTTAGATTTTGTATGGGGAGTTAATTAGTCAACTTCAGGGTTTTTCTTCAACTTGATTAATTTAGTTATCATGTCTCGATATAAGAATCACTCATTAGGGAAAAAGTGCCTTTTGGAATATCAATTACCAATATTTAACTAGTGGTTCTTAATGCTGAATGCATGGTTTCTTGAAACACACGGGATCATTTGACTTGATTAATTTTAGTTTATTATTTGTCGATATAAGAACCACTCTTTAGGAAAAATGTGCTTATTAGTATATTGGTTAAAAATTACAAATTGATAACTTGTGCAAGTCATGTTTTCTTCTCTTCATACCGGATGTGTGGTTAATTGAAGCTTGTGATTTTTGGGCACCACTTCCTTCACCTGCTTTACCAAGCCTTGAACCCTTGACAATGGGGATGTTACTTAACATGTAATGTGAAATAACCCAACAGGAGCCAAGGAGGCCTGGTCTTTTAGGCATCTCTGTTGTATATCGACTGACACTGATGTCAAATATGGCTACCTCTCAAATCTAGGCATGGAGAAATTATTGGATTCGTTTTCGTGATGTGTTCTGAGTACATGTCTTGAAGAACCACAGAAAAAATCTGAATAGAAGAAAAATTTTCCAATTGCTTTGCAACAAGGCATAAAATCTCCTTTCCTTCGTATCCTTCTTCTAAAGGACCGAAAAATTGCTCCTTTTTCTGAATAATATCCAATCTTAGGCAGCAAACACAATATCTTGTTGACTAGTGTTCAAAATGAGACATCCTTCATATCTTGGAATGAAATGATCTTATCTTAACTTATTGGCAGTAGTTTTTATTAGGACAACAGAAAAACTTTGTGGTGAAAAATATGAATCGGGATCTTGTTGAGTTCTGTTTTCATTTTGTTTATTTTTGTTTACTATTATTGTTCCAATTAGGTCCTATGGGGTCTGCCCCCCTAAATCCTTAGTGGATTGGAAGTTTTGAGTTCTAGTTGGAGCAAGAAAGTTGTTAGGAGAAATTTATGTCGATATCCGTAATCTTGTGAAAATTGGCATGAACCTTGTAAATATTTTAATAGGCAATCTCATCATTCATGAGCTGTTAACTGTATTTTTCTTTTTCTATGTTCCCTATGTGAGTACTTTGCTAAATTATTTGCTGCTGTGCGAGTGACATGAACAATAGCTTGTGAATAGTGTTTTCTGTAGCGGATCTTCTTCTTTCATTTATGACTTGCTGGCCTTGTTCTCTTGCTGACTTGTTTGATTTTGCTTTTACTAAACTATACGGTCTGTGTTTATGGTGTGATGTGAGAGAGAGAGCTTATATGTTTTAATATATGCATATAGATCTAGGCCTGCAATGTCATGAAAATGGTTATTTTAATTATTTCCATTTCTCTCGTTTTACAGTATTTTGGACCGACTTTTGTCCATGATGCAAGCAGAACTCCCATAGCGCCACCCCAATATATTGATCCATATGCACTTCTGGAAGATGAAAGGATATCACAAATATCCCCTCATGTAAATTGAAGGACAGAGCATCTATAGACTAGTTTCTTCAAACTTCAGTTACAGGTTTCTGTTGCCTATTTTCCATTGCCTTCGTGTAATTCTTCCATGTATAAATATCAAAATTAGGAAGAATTGTTTTTATCTTTGTTGTATCCTGTTGCATACTGCTGTTCTGAATGTTCTTGATTACGGAGAATGCCCGTTATAATCAAATTTATTATATTTTGCATTCATCTTTGTCTGCAGCGTTATCTTTCACACACATACACACACAAAATAAATAAATAACTAAATAATCTGAAAATTATTTAAAGTAGGCTTGAATGATATGCAAATCGGAGTTCTTATATGATATTTTTCACGTTGAAAGCAATTCAGTATCATACATGGAAATGAATATGCTCATACTTTGATTAAAACAGATCCAATCCATGTTGTTTTGATTAGAATATGTATAATGCTAGGAAAGCTGCTAGTATAAATAAGTTCTTGTACATAAATTGGTGTGATTCCTATGATATGGTTGGGATATGTTTATCAGATCATTTGAATACAGATTGTCACAATTTTTATGTTAGCAGGCTTGCTTTCATGTTTATTTGGAGGGAAAATTAAGGAATACCATGTATTTTGATTAAATAGGCTGATTTTGATCTTCTCCTTCTACACCCTTCATTAAGATCTTTGCTTTAGTACATGTACAGAGCTTCAAAACACACTGCCCGACGGCCCAGACCACCTTGCAATGAGCCAATGTTGCCTAAGCAAAGCTATGACTTTGTTTGATAAACCATGTCTGATAAGATTTGAAGGGCATTGAAGGCCTCGAGAAACATGATGAGACCTTGAATAGATCTCAAGCATACCCATCTCAGTAGTTGCATCCAAAACCAGGTGAGAGTAAATCTGTGAATCTTTGCCTGTGAAAATATACATCTCTATTGGATAGTAAACGGTCAGTGGCCAGAATGAATCAACACCAAGAAAACCCAAAAAATCGTTGAAGAATGGGAGCGGTCACGGTTGCTGATGGACCTCAATTAAGTTGGCTCAAGCTTGTATAAACTCTCAGTTATTTTCGAACTTGAATATTTCCTTTGGAAAGACCATGATAGTTTTTGCTTCTCTCATGAAATTATGGGCAAGAAATTGCTTTTTTACTTCTTTCTCTTTAATCAGACATTTCGTCACCTATATTTCCCCAAAAAAAAAAAAAAAAATTATCCCTCTGTATCCACTGTTTCCCTCCTCCTTACCGTGTAGCATGGTATTGCAACATTTACCACCGAGGTGTAACTAGCACAAAGCACAATACTGAACAAGAAAGTTAACCGCATCAAATACAATAAGAAAAAGATAAGAGACCCACAGTAGCATTAATATTGATAGGAAATCCAATGGACAAACCAGTTCTCAACATTTTAGTTTGAGAACAAAAAAGGTTACCAAGTGAAGCAACAGAAAGATAACACAAGCAAACTAAAACAAAATACAGTATCATAGTATTAAGACCACTGCAAGGCCTTTCTGCCAGATAAACACTTCAGTACTCATCCCCTTCGTCACCATCTTCTCCCTCAGCTAACTCTGCACCAACCTCTTCGTAGTCCTTCTCCAGGGCAGCAAGATCTTCCCGAGCTTCAGAGAATTCTCCTTCCTCCATTCCTTCACCGACATACCAATGTACAAATGCACGCTTAGCATACATGAGGTCAAACTTGTGGTCAATGCGGGAGAACACCTCTGCCACACTAGTGGAGTTTGATATCATGCAGACAGCCCTCTGCACCTTGGCAAGGTCACCTCCAGGAACAACAGTGGGCGGCTGGTAGTTGATGCCACACTTGAATCCTGTGGGGCACCAGTCAACAAACTGGATGGTGCGCTTGGTCTTAATGGTGGCCACAGCTGCATTCACATCTTTGGGCACCACATCACCTCGGTACATAAGGCAGCATGCCATGTACTTGCCATGGCGGGGATCACACTTGGCCATCATCGAGGAAGGCTCAAAAGCACTGTTGGTAATTTCAGCCACCGAGAGCTGCTCATGATATGCTTTCTCAGCTGAGATGACAGGTGCATAAGAAGAGAGCATAAAGTGAATTCTGGGATAGGGGACCAAATTGGTCTGGAATTCAGTCACGTCCACATTCAAGGCACCATCAAACCTCAGAGAGGCAGTCAAAAGAAGAAATCACCTGAAACCCACACAGAAACGTTATTCTTGAAAATTTCACGGCAATTATACTTGTCACAAAGTCATTCAAATTTCAGATAAACCTTTAAATCACAATGAACGGCTTTGATGAACATGCATCCCAATTTTATCACAAGCTAATTCAATCGTTTACAAAAATAATTACAAGCATAAAAGGCAATGTCATGAATTGCCTCGTTGTGGAAAATAATATGAAAAATTCCCTATGGCAATAAAGTAATAATGATCCGATAATAAGTATAAAATTATTCTGGTTATAACTTATAACCGGTCAAATTTGCTTACAAGCAATGATTTCTATTATATCAATTATTTCCCACACCATCTTCCCAAAAAAAAATTATTTCACACATTCTTAAGCCAAGAATAATCTCCAAATATGAACTTCGTCACAATCAAAATGCTGAACCAAGGCAAGAATTCCAGAACTAGTTAGGAAAACACATTTTACCTGAGAGACAAGGCGGTTCAAATTGGTATAGGTGGGCCGCTCAATGTCGAGAGAACGCCTACAAATGTCATAAATGGCCTCATTGTCAAGAAGAATAGAAACATCAGTGTGTTCCAGGAGGGAATGGGTTGAAAGGACACTGTTGTAGGGCTCAACAACAGATGTAGAGACCTGGGGAGAGGGATAGACAGTGAAACCAAGCTTTGATTTCTTTCCATAATCAACTGAGAGGCGCTCCAAAAGAAGGGAGCCAAGACCAGAGCCAGTGCCCCCTCCAACAGCATTGAAAACAAGAAACCCTTGTAGGCCAGTGCAATTATCAGCAAGCTTTCGGATGCGATCCAAACACAGGTCAACAATCTCCTTCCCAACTGCAATAAAAGGAAAAAAAAAAAATCAGTACCAAATTACTACGTAGAAATGAAAGAAACAAAAACAATGACTCTTTGTTACTTGTGTAGTGGCCACGGGCAAAGTTGTTGGCAGCATCTTCCTTCCCACTGATCAGTTGCTCTGGGTGGAAGAGCTGACGGTAAGTCCCTGTCCTCACTTCATCAATAACAGTAGGTTCGAGATCAACAAAGACTGCACGAGGTACGTGCTTTCCTGCACCAGTTTCACTGAAAAAAGTGTTGAAGGCATCATCACCTCCACCAACGGTCTTGTCACTTGGCATCTGACCATCAGGCTGGAAAATAGGAAGACAAAAATTTTAATCAGACCACACAAATATCAAGAAGTACAAAAGTACTAGTATCATTATGGAAATTCGAAACACTTCATTCTTAAACTGTCCTCATTGCTAGAAAAAGGAGAAAAATAGAATTAAGTAAGACGGGTGTGATATCCAACAAAATGGTATTTGAGGTATCAAACTGGATTCTAGCAAATCAATCTAATATGTCGTATTTTATCAAAAATGCACAAAGCCTATTTGTGTGCCTCTTATGGAGGTAATTATACTATGCATTTTGAACAAGGATGAAGAAATCTAACAGTACTAATATTAAGTAGCCCTAAAGTCCAAAAAAATTGGCTGTATAACCCAAAAAGAGATCAACAGTAGGGTGGTTACAAATGTGATTATAGATACATGACAGAATCACAAGATCAATGTTAATCTGATAATTCGAAGATTGGCCACAAAGAACCATAATGTTGCATCTTGATAACAAAAGGCAACGTTCTTTGACATTACTCTCTGTTTCCATAAGAAAGAACATTGTACATATTAAAACAAATACAAGTTAAGAATCAAAAGAAAACAATGTTCAAACTTCAAACTACATTTCATCATGCAATAACCCAAGATCTGACAATGTTCACAGTAAAAGAGCAACGATTACCAAGATGATACCAGCAATTTTTGCAGATGAACGAAAGCATCAATGCATAAAAAAAAAAAATAATAATAATAATAATAAAAAGTCTCACTACTATTCTTCCAAAAAAACCTAAGATCACTAAGATTCAACAGAGTGAACAAGATAATTACAATTTTTCTAACTTAAACCAAAATAAATGTTCGCATGACGTGAACCAATGTTCAGTACAAATCTTACATTTACTAATTCCAAAAAACCCTAGATCTGACACGGTTTGAAAGTCCCTATTTTCATTTGTGCTTGCATCAAATGCGTAAAAAATTACCAAATCTCAAAAAACATGCAAGAAATCCTAAATCAAATGAAAAGAATAGAGCAACGAAAATAATCGTTCCTGTTGACCACAGATCAATATAAGAAACTCAAACTCTGGCAGAAACCTATGTTCATAAGAGATCTATAAATTTTCCGATTACAAACATTTTGAGCGGTATATACTGTGTGTGGATATATATATATATATATATATATAGAGAGAGAGAGAGAGAGAGAGAGAGGAGGACCTGAATGCCATGCTCAAGGCAATAAAGTTCCCAGCATGCATTGCCGACCTGAATACCGGCCTGACCAATGTGGATCGAGATGCACTCTCTCATTTTCGCTGATTGGATCGAAAGAAAATGCAAGAAACGAAGAAAAAGGGCGAAGAAGAATCAAAGAACACACACAGACGTTTATCAAGACGCCTTCTGATGCTCACATCTCAAGACTTTACAGTGTCCATTTATTTATAGACGAGAGAGGGAGAGAGAAGAACATTAGCCAGGGTTAGGCAATCAAAGGGAACGGACGGCAACCGTAAACCATGGTTAGATTATTTTTTTTAAACAATCATTTGCTGCTTTGAATCTAAAAATACGAATTGTTTTCTAATTAATTACAGGAATATATATATATATATATATATATATATATATATATATATATAATTTACAAAATAACTTCTAAACAAAATTTAAATTACGTGGATCTTATATTAGTTTAGATTACACAAAAAAAAAATATATATATATATATATATATATATATATATATATCAAAAGGGTGTAATGGTCATATAGTATTTAACAAAATAAATAGAGTTACCTTTAAAAAAATTAAGGTAATGTAATGGTAAGGAATCTTTTTATAAATTCTTAGATTATTTTAAGGTGTTAGTTACAAAATAGTAAAA